GCTGCTGCTGCTGCTGCTGCTGCAGTAGACAGCAGCAACAGCAGCAGCCAAGACGTGTTAATGGTATCTCTACGTACAGTAGAGAAGAGTCAAAGCCGCAGCTGTCTAACGGTTTGACCCTTTTGCAGCAGCAGCAGCAGCAGCAACAGCAGCAGCAGCAGCTGCTGCTGCTGCTGCTGCTGGGGCCTCCTGCATGCTGCAGCTCCGCCGCTACACTTCTCTCACTGTCTGAAATAAACAAATTTGTTAATTTTATTTTTGTTTTTATTTCGAGAAAGCCCAGCTGGATGAGCTGCGATCTGCTGCTGTCTTCATTATACACAAGCTGCAGCAGCAGCAGCAGCAGCAGCAGCAGCAGCAGCAGTAGCATTTAAGGGGGGTATCTGCTGCTGCTGCTAGAGCCGGCAGCAGTGGTCCTGCTGCTGGGTGCTGCTGTGGCAATATCAAGGAGGTGTGCGGCTGCAGCAGTTGCTGCTGCTGCTGCTGCTGCTGCCAGCAGCAGCAGCAGCAACACTGGTTGCAGCAGCTGCTGCTGCTGCTGCTGTATGCGCAGCATAGCCAACAGCACCAAAGCGAAAGCAGCAAAGACCCACGACACGGGGTGTTGCTGCTGCTGCTATCTCTACTGTTGCTGCTGCTGCCTCTGTTGCTGCTGCTGCTGTCTGTATTGTTGCTGCTGCTGCTGCTGGCTTTCCTGCTGTTCTTCTCTGTAGTGGTGCTGCTGCTATAGCTGCTACTACTGTCTGCTGCTGCTGCAGTTGCTGCTTGCTGCTACTGCCGCTGCTGCTGCTGCTGCTTACTGCTGCTACTCACACATAACAACGCATCGGCGAGGCAGCAGAAGGCAAAGTGCATGCAGCAGCAGCAGCAGCAGCAGCAGCAGCAGTAGCAGCAGTAGCAGCAGAAAGATAAACACAACAAACGACAAGCTGAATGCTGGCTGTCTCTTGGCCCTAAACATCAGCAGCTGCTGCTGCAGCTCCTGTGTTGGAGCTAGGGTTTAGGGTTTAGGGTTTAGGGTTTGCCTCTGCTGGTGGTTTCAGGTGTCTGTACACCCCATCGTACCCACTCCTATAGACGCCTGAGCCCCCCTTTCCTATGCCCAGCTAGCTAGCTAGCTAGCTAGCTAGCTAGCTAGATGGCTAGCTAGCTAGCTAGCTACCGACACGGCTAGCCAGCTAGCTAGCTGTGCAGTTCAACAGCTAGCTGTCTCAGTAGTTGGGAGTATAGACAGGAGGCCAGCCGTCGACGTGGCTAGCTAGCTAGCCAGCTAGCCGTTGGACTAGCTAGCTAGCTAGCTAGCTAG